TCTGCGCTGTGGGGCTCCATTACAGAATTAATGAATCATTGGTTTGTTACATCGAGAAAAAGGAAAATAAGATGAGGACGACAGCAGCGATAAGTTTTAAGCCTGAGAAAAGTGTATAAAGTGTGTTGCTGAGGGGTTTTACAGCCTTAAATTAAGTTGACAAGTTTGCAGATTTCACCTATCGCGGGTTATTTTTAGAACGATAAATGAGGGACCAGTGTATTTCAAAACGATACGATACAGTTCGATAAAAAATAAAGGCAAAATCGTAGCTGTGATACTAAAAGTTTCAGCAAAGTCAATATAAAACACAAACATTTTAATCACCAAAACAGTGAAAATGTCAAAAGTGTCACGCAAACGAGTTTCTTTCCTCTGAACAAACAACAAAACTGTAGCACAGAAACAAAACGATTTAGTCAAATATATCAAATGGTGATGTATCGATACAGCAGCCCTTGATATCGATACTGTATCATCACATTAAATGCCGTAATACCACACCCATGCACAGAGAGTTTGCGTGAAGTGTCTCGGTAATGAACACAATTGCACTGCTTTCCAGAAAGATTTGACCTGTTGACCCTGTGGTTGTTGGGCACGCTCAGCCACTGCAGCACTAGTGATGTGTAAAGAGGAGTGTGTGTGCTGTGTACCTGTGCAGAAACAGTAAAGCGTCGCACACACACAGAAGAGCAGTGAGGCTAAAAATAACTCTGTGATCGATTCTTCAAATACACATGTGTTTGGTTTTGACACACGAGTCTCTGCTTTATGTGACTCACGGAGCTCGGAACACGCTGTACGAACCCCCGACAGCGAGCGCATATTAAAGAGGACATGTTGTGCTTGTGTCTGCTCTGTACGTATAATCTATGGACAGTTTACATCGAAATATTGATCTAAAACTACTTCATATAAAAGGAACAAGTCGTCATAACTAAACGTAGAATGCGCCTCCTGTGGACAGATGGACGTCACACCAACAGGACATCACCAGGACATCACCAGGACAACACCAGGACAACACCAGGACAACACCAGGACATCACCAGGACAACACCAGGACATCACCAGGACATCACCAGGACAACACCAGGAACATCACCACACAGGACCAGGACAACACCAGGACACCAAACACCAGGACACACCAGGACATCACCAGGACAACACACACCAGGACCAGGACAACCAGGACAACACCAGGACAACACCAGGACATCACCAGGACAACACCAGGACATCACCAGGACAACACCAGGACAACACCAGGACAACACCAGGACAACACCAGGACAACACCAGGACAACACCAGGACATCACCTGGACAACACCAGGGACATCACCAGGACAAACACACCAGGACAACACCTCCAGGACAACACCAGGACAACACCAGGACATCACCAGGACAACACCAGGACAACACCAGGACAACACCAGGACAACACCAGGACACACCAGGACACCAGGACCACCAGGACAATCACCAGGACAACACCAGGACACACCAGGACAACACCAGGACATCACCAGGACAACACCAGGACAACACCAGGACAACACCAGGACATCACCAGGACATCACCAGGACAACACCAGGACAACACCAGGACAACACCAGGACAACACCAGGACATCACCAGGACAACACCAGGACATCACCAGGACATCACCAGGACATCACCAGGACAACACCAGGACAACACCAGGACAACACCAGGACACCACCAGGACACACAGGACATCACCAGGACAACACCAGGACAACACCAGGACATCACCAGGACAACACCAGGACAACACCTGGACAACACCAGGACAACACCAGGACAACACCTGGACAACACCAGGACAACACCAGGACAACACCAGGACAACACCAGGACATCACCAGGACAACACCAGGACAACACCAGGACATCACCAGGACAACACCAGGACAACACCAGGACAACACCAGGACAACACCAGGACATCACCAGGACAACACCAGGACAACACCAGGACAAACACACAGGACATGGACAACACCAGGACAACACCAGGACAACACCAGGACATCACCAGGACAACACCAGGACATCACCAGGACAACACACCAGGACATCACACCAGGGACAACACCAGGACATCACCAGGACAACACCAGGACAACACCAGGACATCACCAGGACAACACCAGGACATCACCAGGACAACACCTGGACATCACCAGGACAACACCAGGAACACCAGGACAACACCAGGACACACACCAGGACAACATGGACACCACACACACCAGGACAACACCAGGACACACCAGGACATCACCAGGACACACACAACACCTGGACAACACCAGGACAACACCAGGACATCACCAGGACATCACCAGGACAACACCAGGACATCACCAGGACAACACCAGGACAACACCAGGACTCTACCAGGAGGACATTTTTGTGTTTATTTCTACCAAAATATCTACAGAACGCTACTGAATTCTACGTGAATCACAGATAAATAAAGTAAAATATTTCTGCCATATCACACAGTGTGTACAGTGTGTACTGTGTACTGTGTGTACTGTGTGTACAGTGTGTACTGTGTGTACTGTGTACTGTGTAGTGTGTACACTGTGTGTACTGTGTGTACTGTGTGTACTAGTGTGTACTGTGTGTGTGTACTAGTGTGTACTGTGTGTACTGTGTGTACTGTGTAGTGTGTACTGTGTGTACTGTGTGTACTGTGTACTGTGTGTACTGTGTGTACAGTGTGTACTGTGTGTACTGTGTGTACATGTACAGTGTGTACTGTGTGTACTGTAGTGTGTGTACAGTGTGTACTGTGTGTACAGTGTGTGTGTGTACAGTGTGTAGTGTGTACTGTGTGTACTGTGTGTGTGTACAGTGTGTACAGTGTGTATTGTGTGTACTGTGTGTACTGTGTGTACTGTGTGTGTGTACTGTGTGTAGTGTGTACAGTGTGTACTGTGTGTGTACTGTGTGTACAGTGTGTACAGTGTGTACTGTGTGTACTGTGTGTACTGTGTGTACTGTGTGTACAGTGTGTACTGTGTGTACTGTGTACAGTGTGTAGTGTGTACTGTGTGTACTGTGTGTGTGTACAGTGTGTTGTACTGTGTGTACTACAGTGTGTACTGTGTGTGTGTACTGTGTGTACTGTGTGTACTGTGTGTACAGTGTGTGTGTGTGTACTGTGTGTAGTGTGTACTGTGTGTATAGTGTGTACAGTGTGTAGTGTGTACAGTGTGTACAGTGTGTACTGTGTGTACTGTGTGTACAGTGTGTAGTGTGTACTGTGTGTACTGTGTGTAGTGTGTACAGTGTGTACTGTGTGTACTGTGTACTGTGTGTACAGTGTGTACTGTGTGTACTGTGTGTAGTGTGTACTGTGTGTGTGTACTGTGTGTACTGTGTACTGTGTGTGTGTACTGTAGTGTGTACTGTGTGTACTGTGTGTGTGTACTGTGTGTATGTGTGTACAGTGTGTACTGTGTGTACTGTGTGTACTGTGTACTGTGTACAGTGTGTAGTGTGTACTGTGTGTACTGTGTGTACAGTGTGTAGTGTGTACTGTGTGTACTGTGTGTAGTGTGTACTGTGTGTACTGTGTGTACTGTGTACTGTGTGTACTGTGTGTACTGTGTGTACTGTGTGTACTGTGTGTAGTGTGTACAGTGTGTACTGTGTGTACTGTGTGTACTGTGTGTACTGTGTGTACTGTGTGTACTGTGTGTGTACTGTGTGTAGTGTGTACTGTGTGTAGTGTGTACAGTGTGTACTGTGTGTACTGTGTGTACAGTGTGTAGTGTGTACAGTGTGTACTGTGTGTACTGTGTGTACTGTGTGTGTACTAGTGTGTACTGTGTGTGTACTGTGTGTAGTGTGTACAGTGTGTACAGTGTGTACTGTGTGTAGTGTGTACTGTGTGTAGTGTGTACTGTGTGTACTGTGTACTGTGTGTACTGTGTGTACAGTGTGTAGTGTGTACTGTGTGTGTGTGTACTGTGTGTGTGTACAGTGTGTGTGTGTACTGTGTAGTGTGTGTGTGTACTGTGTGTACTAGTGTGTACTGTGTGTGTACAGTGTGTAGTGTGTACAGTGTGTACAGTGTGTGTGTACTGTGTGTGTGTACTGTGTACTGTGTGTACTGTGTGTACTGTGTGTACTGTGTGTACTGTGTGTACAGTGTGTACTGTGTGTGTGTACTGTGTGTACTGTGTGTACTGTGTGTACTGTGTGTACTGTGTGTGTGTACTGTGTGTACTGTGTGTACTGTGTGTGTGTGTACTGTGTGTGTACTGTGTGTACTGTGTGTGTGTACTGTGTGTACTGTGTGTACTGTGTGTACTGTGTGTACTGTGTGTACTGTGTGTACAGTGTGTACAGTGTGTACAGTGTGTACTGTGTGTACTGTGTGTACTGTGTGTACGTGTACTGTGTGTAGTGTGTACTGTGTGTACTGTGTGTACTGTGTGTACTGTGTGTACTGTGTGTACAGTGTGTACAGTGTGTGTGTACAGTGTGTACAGTGTGTACAGAGTGTGTGTACTGTGTGTACTGTGTGTACTGTACTGTGTGTACTGTGTGTACTATGTGTACTGTGTACTGTGTACTGTGTGTACAGGGGTTAGACTGGAGCAATGACGTCTTGAATACAGAGGGATACAGATTTCTTTTGCATTGCGTTTTTATTCTGGTATTTCATATTAAACTTGCCGTTTGTGGAGGAAATGATGGTACTTCAATAATTCAATAATTCCAAGCGTTTTGATTTGCTAACTGCCTCCATTTAAACTGGATTTTGATTTGATCATCATTAATCTTGCAGCACTGAATCTAAATCAAATGTAAAAATGCACGATGAGGAGACAGAGTGATGTTCAAAGCTCGAGGAAATCTCACTCTGACACTCTTCTGTGTCAGAGTAACATTTGTGTCCAAACACCTCATCTCATGTCATCTCATCTCTCTCTGTCAGCGCCAACGTCACATGAACCCAGCTGACCTCCTGACCCCAGATGACCCCAGATGACCCCAGACCCCATGACCCCATGACCTCCATGACCTCCATGACCTCCATGACCTCCTGACCTCAGCCCACTGCACCTTTAAACTCCACAGTTGGATACAGAGCTGCTGTTATTACATCCTGAGATCATTACAGAGAAAACATGGAGCACTTCATCAGTGGCTGGAGTTATTCTTTGGCTTCTTGGGTCGTCAACAGTATCAGAACTCAGATACTAATAAATGCCTAAACTAGCATCAAAACTAGATCCTCATTTGAGCTCGAGCTCGGTCAGAAAATAGTGTAATATGGGCCCTTTCATTTCATTCAGCCCGAACTCCAACCACAGTAAACTGAATGTAATATTAAAGTGATGAGGCGTCTTAGTGTAGACGTGTTTTCAATGGGACAAACAGACGTGTCTGGGCGCTGTCTTAGAGACAGGGTGAGGAGCTCAGTCACACTGGAGGAGCTCGGAGTAGAGCCGCTGCTCCTCCACATGGAGCGGAGCAGTTCAGGTGACTCAGGCATCTGTTCCTGATGCCTCCAGGACGTCTTCCTTGGGTGGTGTTCCAGGCATGTCCCACCGGGAGGAGACCCTGGGGAAGACCCAGGACACACTGGAGGGACTATGTCTCTGGGCTTGGACTGGGAACACCTCGGGGTTCCCCCAGAGGAGCTGGAAGAAGTGTCTGGGGTGAAGGAAGTCTGAGAGTCCATGCTTAAACTGCTGTCCTTGCGACTCGCCCTCGGATAAACAGAAGAAAATGGATGGATGGATGTTTTATAACTGCCTCCTGAATAAATGTAAAAGAAACAACAGACCAGTCGTTCATTCTACGTTTCTTGTTTTCACGGGAAAGTCTCTTCTCCCTCTTTATCTCTTTCTCCCTCTTAAAAAAGACATATTGTGCTTGTGTGTGAACTGTAATCTATGACACCGTGGATCATTATGTTATCATTTATACATTTTAAATCACAATATTGATCGAAAAGGACTTAATAAAAGAAACAAGTGCATGTCTTCCATGTTAGAAAACTGTGGTAGATAACTGCACATCACATCAGAACAGAGCTTTCTTTTCTTTGTATTTATATTTTTTTATTTTTTCAGCAGAGGTTGAATGACGTGTCTCCTTTAACATGATTCTCAAATACGAACTGAAGAGTGTGAAGAGAAAAATACAGTATGTTTTAATAAAAGGATTCTGTTCAGAGTTCACTTTTTAAACACGTCCAGAAGAACTGACAAAAAGACTGAAATCTGAAGTGACAAACTAATAGAAGAATCACATTTCAGAACATGTTTGTACAGATCTGAACTACAGGGTTAGCAGCTTCTACGCAGAATAAATTTGTAGAGGAAATGATGGAACTTTCAGTCTTTGTGGTTTGATAATTGCCTCCATGTTTGTAGAAACATTCCGAAATGCATTAGTATTTTGTAAAATCCATTTCTGTATAAATGTTTTATGCATGATGACTTTATTTTATACTGTATAGTGATTTTATTCATAAGATTTTATTAAGAATGATTCATTATTCACAGAAATTGCCTTTATCTGCTCCTTTGTTCGGAAAATACAAGATTCTGATCATATTTAAAGCAAACATAAAGTGTGTATATCTGTGTATACTGTAAGTCTGCTGGATGTTCTCCTCAGATGTTCATCAACTTTTAGGGCCGACCTTCTGGAATCATTATTATTATCACTGACATTATAATGTGTTTAAATCAGTTTTGCGCAACTCTCACAGAAACGAAACTTAAAACCCCATCGCTAATTTGCATAAACTAAGCGAAGATAAAACTCCAGCTCTTGTGTCGCTGATGTGGTTCAACTTCTGTCGGATTAAAAGACATGACTCAGGTGAATACAGGTTAGTGTGACCAGATTTGCGTTTGTCAAAACCAGGACACCGTACGGGGGGAGGGGGGCGGGGCCTCGTCATCCACATTGAGCGACTCTCACCTGGTAAAACTTTTTCCCACTGGACACAGAAACATATGTGCTGCTTTATACACTGTGCACATGGACTCACACTTGTCCCAACGCAACGGAAAGTGTGGAATTTCTTGTACAAATCCTGGTTAAATCCACATTTGTGCTTCGGTTCGTTGCAGACTGACCCACTGTTTGTGTCTCGCTCCTTCTGATGCAGAGACACATGTACACACCTGTTTGGTCACGACACACAAACCTACATTCAGTTTGTCCATTAAAATGAACATAATCGATGAAATTCTTAATGATCAATTATCGATTAATCACGCCCATCCCTAATCACCACCACCCCTCTGTCACAGAACGAACACTCATATTCCGACAGAAGCTGAACGACATCAGCGCACAAGGAAAGAGCTGTTTTTTTCAGCACTTATAGTTTATGCAAATGAGTCATGTGATTTTAAGTTTTGTTTCTGTAAAACATCAACAAATGTTGCATTAAACACATTATAATGTCAAACGGGCTGATGTGGCTCTAGAGTGGTTATGGTTTATCTGTTGTAAAGTTGAGTTTATTTATGCAGATTAGTAATAGTTATAATAATTGTGATGATTTTAATATAAATTCATTATTGATTCATCGAAAATCAATCGTTAATTCTACTGACGATCGATTAAGAAAATTTAATCAAATACTCAACTTTAATTCAAACAAAAGTAAATGTTTCTGATATGGTAGAAACATGTTTTTGGGGAGGCACAGTAATTGATCTGTTTTCAATCTGTTTTGCAATGTTTTTACTTGTATGTGCGAACCTAAACTTTGACTAGTCGACAAATCTGAAAATAATCGTTGAAAGAGAGAAAGCAGGAGACTGTGGAAAGAAATATAAAAGAAGGGAGCGAACGAGAGAGACCGAGGAGGAGAGGTGGGAGTACGAGGCTGAGTCTCCGTGACGACCAGTGGACTGAGAGACGAGTCGATGCTGTGATAACTGTGTTTAGTCTGGTTCACACTGAGACGGTCTTCAGATGCACCATTCTGACTGGAAGAAATACCTGTAGTTATATTTGTAGTCAGTGTTGGGGAGTAACAGATTACTTGTACTGGAGTTACGTAATCAGAGTACAAATGATGAAGAACTGTATTCAGTTACAGTTACTTTTTCCATGAGTGGTAATTGGATTACAGTTACTTTGTTAAGTCCACTCATTGCCGGACACTAAACCAGGTCTAAACCAGGTCTAAAACAGGATTTAACAGAACTAAACCAGGTCTAAAACCAGGTCTATAATCAGGTCTAAACCAGGTCTAAACCAGGTCTAAACCAGGTCTAAAACCAGGTCTAAAACCCGGTCTAAACCAGGTCTAAACCAGGTCTAAAACCAGGCCTAAATCAGGTCTAAACCAGGTTTAAACCAGGTCTAAAATCAGGTCTAAACCAGGTCTAAACCAGGTCTAAACCAGGTCTAAAACCAGGTCTAAAACCCGGTCTAAACCAGGTCTAAACCAGGTCTAAAACCAGGCCTAAATCAGGTCTAAACCAGGTCTAAAATCAGGTCTAAACCAGGTCTAAACCAGGTCTAAAACCAGGCCTAAATCAGGTCTAAACCAGGTCTAAAACAGGATTTAACAGAACTAAACCAGGTCTAAAACCCGGTCTAAACCAGGTCTAAACCAGGTCTAAAACCAGGCCTAAATCAGGTCTAAACCAGGTCTAAAATCAGGTCTAAACCAGGTCTAAACCAGGTCTAAACCAGGTCTAAAACCAGGCCTAAATCAGGTCTAAACCAGGTCTAAAATCAGGTCTAAACCAGGTCTAAACCAGGTCTAAACCAGGTCTAAAACAGGATTTAACAGGACCATGCTGCTCAGACCGTGTCTCCTCTTCTTCTATCAATAATATTTTTTATTTGGTTAAGTAAAGACTCGGCCTTTTCATTTTCTTTTAGCAAACAAAACATTTTATTTGAAGATTTCCTCGTCTTTGCTTCTCTACAGCAAATCAAGTAATCCAAAGTATTCAGATTACATTACTCACTTTAAGTAACTTCATGGATTACGTTACAAACTACATTTTGGGGTGTGTAATCTGTAATCTGTAGGGGATTACATTTTAAAAGTCACCTTCCCACACTGTTTGTAGTATTGTGAGTGTGGTTTACGTCAGATGCTGTAGTTTTGAGAGATTTTGGCCCATTTTTGATCAACCGTTCGATCGGCACATGACACGACTACAGCCCCAGATTCTTCCACTAACAATAATGCATTTATGAAGTTCGCAAACAAATTTCTCGAGCCGTTTTTTGCTGTTAGGATCCAACAACCACACAGTTAACGATGTCCGAATCCCAAAACTAAAATATGACAATATCAGAACCAGAAACAAAAGTGATTATTTATTTATTTATTTATTTTGGTCACAGGTATATTTTGACTTTAATTCATAAACAGTCATATTTAACATATACAGACCGAAAAGGTGCAGGCTGAAGCTTAAGCTTATTCTGCCTTTACCCTTTATTCCTTTGTCAGAGCTTCATCTTGACACCAGTTCATCTTCATAAATACAGCAGGAAGAAACAAACTAATCAGTAACAGAACAACAAAGTTCTACAGCACAAACTAAGTCTCATATTTCATGTATCTGTCCAGAGTTAAACATTTAAACTTCTTTATGAAGTGAAAGAAAGTGGTGCACAATTTGAGGTTTTCTGTACAGTTGTTCCAGAGCTCCACCCCTTTAACAGATTTACAAAATTTCATAATGTTTGTTCTGATTTTCTTTTTAATAAACATGGTCGTGCCTCTGAGCTCGTATCGGCTCTTTCGGATTTTGAACATGTTCTGTAATGATTTCGACAGGAGATTGTTGTTTACTTTGAACATGATTTTAAGAGTGTAAAGATCGACTAAATCATAAAATTTCAGCGTTTGAAGGTTTATAAATAACGCATTGGTTGGTTCGTTATAAGTTGATAATGTGATGCTCTTATTGCCTTTTTTTGTAGGGTAAAGACTGGATTTGTATTCGTCTTATATGTATTGCCCCAAATCTCAATACCGTAGGTTATGTAGGGCATTACCAGCGACTTATATATAATAAAAAGACTGTTTTTATC